AAAATTAAAACAATCCAGCAGTCACTGGGAAGTTTCTCTTTAGGAAAAAAAAATAGTAAATTTTTTTTTTTTTTTTTTGGTTTTTTAAGTTTTTTGGAAAGTATTTTTAAGGTAATTTTTTTTTTCCTTTGGAAAAAGAAATCTTTTCCCCCTCTAATCTAAGCAAGTGGTGTTTTGCCACTACCTAATTTCTATTGTTTTGCTAAGAGGTAGATAAACAAAAGTGAAAACAGGGGTCTATGAGGAGGTCCATTAGAGGGTGGGGAGGGGCTCCCCAACTACAAAGAAAGCCTGGGGGACCCACGAGCTCCCCCAGGGCCAAGAATCCTGCTGAGCTCTCCTCCCTGAGCCCAGGGCTGAGGATGGGTCTGAGGTCACCTCCACTGGCCGGGGGAGGCCACCTCTCTACTATGGTCACCGCAGGTGAGAGGGTGCTGGCAGGAGGCATGAAAGGCGAGCAGGAGGTAGGGAGGGGCCCTGCAACCAGGCCCGTGGCCTGCTGGTCCCCAGGCAAACTGTGTGGCACAGCCTCGAAGGGCCTCTCCCAGCTGGGACTGCACGCCCACACAGTCCGGCCCTCGAAGACCTTACTGAGGACTGAGGTAGTTCATCCGTTCCTACTCTAGCATCTTCGCCTGTGGTCACTCTGAACACAGCTCGTGAGGAGCTTCCTGTGATCTCATTAAAAAAAAAAAAAAAAAAAAAAAAATCTCTTGTCTAAGTCAGTTCGGATCCCAGCTCACCAGGGCGCTGCTGAGCAGGGGCACCCCGCCTGTGACCCGCACCCCCAGCGGGTGCTCCTCTACGTCTGAATCAAACTCGCCCTGCTCTAAACCACGAAGTACTGGGGGAGATGGCTTTTAGGTCCCCGGGCATCGTGAGGGTTTCTCATCAGTCTTCCTGCCATCACCCATCAGGCTGTGCCGTCTCCCTTTCCCTGGTTTCCAACCAAACATTCGAATGGTTTGGAGGGCAGGGCCACCAGCACCTCCCTTGGGACACTAGGGGGGAGGGACAGAGAGGAGACCCCACCACCTCGGAAGCAGAGCGGAGGAAGGGGGGCTCTGTGAGGTAGGTAGCGGCACTTGTTCCCGGCTTGGCAGAGGGTATACTGTGCCCCGAGGAGGGGAAGGCACCCTGGGTCAACGGAGGCCCCTCCTCGCTGCCAGTCTGCCAGTCCTGAAGGGAACTCTGCGGTGCCAACTCTGCAGGGGGACAGGGGCCAGGCCCTGGGGCAGCCCAGGCTGCCTCTCCTTCCCCAAAGTGCAACCAGAGCCAGTGGCCCCATCCCGGCTCCCCGGGGGAAGGCAGGAGATCAGGAGACCGCAGCTGCCCGCCTCCGGGCCCCTCCCTCAGGAGATGGTGGCAGGTGACTTTCGGCCTGTCTCTTTGGCACACTGGAGACGGACACTAGGACCCTGGAGAGCTCCCTCCTGTGTCCTCTTGGTCTCACAGGGGGTCTCACTGCCAACACTGAGGCATAAATAAGGAGAAAGGAAAAAAGACTGATGAGGCGGGGAGGCAGGGCAGGGGGGCGCTACCCCTCCATCCCAGACAGGACAGGACAGTGCTCTCCTCCCTGAAAGGCGCCCGGGCCTCGAAGGGCTAAAGCCAGGGGGGTGCAACTGGCAGGTGCAGCTTCCAACTCAGTGAACCAAACCGTTCTGGCTTCCTATGTGTTTCAAAGAGTTTTAAAAAATATATTCTAAAGAGCTGGTCGTTTCACAAAAAAGCACGTGCAGCGTGCACACGTCTCAGAAAGTCGCTCTTCTCCAAACCCGCCGCCTCTCCCAGGTGCTCTGAGACAGCCTGGATCTCAGCATGGACTCCTGGGGCAGGAGGCGCCCCCAAGGCCTGGCCCAGGTCACAGGAGGACCCGGGCAGACAGCCCTGTGCTACCACCCTCCTGCGACGCCTGAGCCACCAAGTCTGTTCCTGCAGCCTGCTCGCAGAGGGCAAACCTCTGGCGGCTCCGCGCGGAGCCTGCTTCCAGAAAGCCTTCCTGGCCCCTTCTGGGAGCTCAAAGAGCCGAAGGACAAGGACCCAGGCCTGACACATTCCCACGACGGCTCATGCACGACCATGGCATCAGGCGGAGCGTAGTGGACCGCTGGGGTGCCGTGTCACGCAAACGCGCGAAGGCGCACAAGGAGCCTCACGCTGCACCCATCACACCTCAGATACTGTGGGCTTTTTCTTTTTCCTGATGGTCTGAACCGGTATCAAAGCATGCTTGCTGCTGAAAATCCACTTTAACCATTACACGACCGAAGTCTGAACGTAAACTGCTTCGTAGTTGGGACAAAGCATAGAGCCAGGCAGAAAGGAGTGGTGAGGCCCTTCCTGCGGCTGGGGCTTACTTACTGTGGGCTGGACGTCACCCCTCAAGGCCTGCTCCAGTACTGGGGGCCACAGCAGGTGTCACCAGGATGAGGACACCAAGGCAGGTGCCCATCACTGGTTCATGCCCTCCTCTCCTTCACCACCACCCTAAATCAAGAATCCTCTCAATAGGGGTCCGCTTTCAGAATGGGTGACTGGATCTGAAGACGACAGAGCAAGGTGGAACAGAAAAGACACCAGAAGTGGAAGCCTCGTGACAAGCCTGCGACTCAAGGCAGCGGCCATGAGGGAAGTGGCCTTGTCTTCCTCCTGGGCATGGAATCTTGGCTCCCCTCTATTTTTAGACAGAGATACAGGCTTTTTGCTTTATTCTTGAAAGGGTGTGTTTTTTAGTTACTATCTTCTCTCCTCAAGAAAACAGAGGCACTATTTTAAAATATCACAACAGCACCAATGCAGGGAAAAACTGGCCAGAGGGCCACTTTACCACAGGGGAGGAGGGAGCCCGGGGCTGCCAGGGGCTGTTGGGGCACAGGCTCCTGGGCTCCATGGGGCCCTTTTCAACACGGGTAGGGGTGGGAGCCAGAGCCAGTGAGGCCCTGGGCCGCATCCCCAGCCCTTCCCAGCGGGCTGCCGTCCTAACAGGTGACTGGCTCACAGCATAAGAAATTCTGAAACATAACTTTCTTTCTTTTTTTCATTAAAAAAATAAAATATTCAAGACTATCCACTTTTCTTTTTTGCTTGGCTTTTCTTTTTTATATAAAATATCAGCAAGCCGCAAAGAAAAAAAAAGATCAAAAAAATAAAAATTAAAAAAAAAAAAAAAAAAAAAAAGAGGGTTGAGGGGAACAAAAGGGAACACAATTGCTGAGGTAACTTCATACCTTGAGGTAGTTTAAATCACACACAGCACTGCCTGACACCCACCACCCACACGTCATGGTTGTCTCGCCGTCACTGTCACTGCTGCAGCGGCGGGAGGAGGCACCCTCCCCCGCACACTTGATAGTTCTGTCCAGGGTAGCTAAAGTGCATCGCCTGGTGATATGCATTGACAATCACAGGGCCCTCGGACCACTGAGCTGGCGGCTCCTGCGCTGCCCAAGGGCTGGCCTTCCGGCGGGGATCTCGAGCCTGGTACATTAATAAATTAATCTCACTGAGCCCCTGGCTACACGCTGCTGGTATTCAGGATTCCGTTTCAGGCACTCCTTTCACCATGACCGTGAAGAATTCACGGAGCCAGAAGCCAGCAGTTAAGTACTCCTCTAGGATTAAAAACAAAGTTCTCTCCAGCTGACTGACTTGGCCAGAGGACGGACCTCCGCTTGACGGGGAGGCCAGGGCTGGGGGAAGGGTCCCACTACCACCAGGAAGACAGTGCTGTGGTGGGGAACGGCCCCCGGCCTGGCCCCGGGGACCAGCCCTCCCAGTGGCACATGGGCCGGGCGCGGGCTCCTTTGGGCACTCGTTCCCCCTGGGAGCTGAGGCTTTATCAAGGAAGCCCAGGACCCTTCCCAGTGCTCACATCCAATCATTAAAATAGACTTTAAAAAAATATAAAATCCTCCTGAGAATGATGGGAGTCAGGGACAGTGGCGAGCCCTCGCCCACCCTGCCGGGCATTCAGTGCCCCCCCCACGCCCCCCCCACACCATGTAGGACTCCGGGTGAGGCTCAAGGGGTGTGCGTGTGGCGGGGAGGCCCCGACAGGCTAGGGCAGATTTTAGTTGTGCCAATTTTCCAAAACAGTGGCAATGTGGATAGATTGGCCCAAAAGACACTCTTTTTTTTTTTTTTTTTTTTTTTTTTGTGGTGCCAGGGATCAAAACCTCGCACCTGCTAGGCAGTGCTGGACCACTGAGCTCTCTCCCCAGCTCAAGGGTTCTTCTTTTAAACGTGGATTACTGTGCATTTTAATCATCTTTCTCCCCATTTCTCTCCCTGACCCTTTTAATTTTTTTTTTGAGATGGGCTCCCTATTCCAGGCTGGCCTCAAACTTGAAGCAACCTTCCTGCCTCAACCTCCTGGGATGGCAGGCATGCGCCACCAGGCCTGGCTTCCCCTGCTCTTTTCCCTGCTACTGGGACAGCCAGGAATTAAGCGAGAGACCAAAGAGTCCTCTCCACAGGCATATTATAACAATGCCACGCTGCGCTAGTTAGTGCCCACGTTTTCTTGGTAGTGGTCAAGATAAAACAGTGTGGCCACAGGAGGAAGTGGCGCCCCAATATGAGGCTGGAGGTATTTTTAATCAATTAGCCAAGTAGGGGGAAGAAAACTGGAGAAATTTTAGGGTCAAGAAAGAAAACCATCCTTTGAGGTTTTTAAAAACCTGAAGGAAATTTTATTTCTCGTCCCCGTGGGCCCCGACTCCACCTTCTTGGCAGGGGGGCCTGGAGAAATTTCTGCAATGATCCACGTTTAAAAGCACCCTGAGCTGGTTTCCTGGTGCCACCCGAGGGGTGGGGCGGGGGTCTGACTGAGCCAGAGATCAGGTTCCTCACGGAGCAGCTCGTCAAGTGGGTGGGCAAACCTGATCTCCCGCCGTCCCCAGGGTCCCCGATTCCTAAGCATTCTCAGGCCTGCGGGTCACAGTGGGCTCTGGTTCAGCCCCGTGCCCTGGAGCCTCGGGGACACGGGAAGGTGCTGGTCACTTCCTCCGAGCCTGGGCCTGGTTGCTCTGTCCCTTCTGATGCTGCTGTTTCACTTGAGCCAGGATGTCTCGGATCTTTCGCTGGGCCATCTAGGACAGAAAGAACAGGCAGGGACGGAGGGGTCATAGGTCTGGAACAGGGAGCTTCCTTCCTGGCAGAAAGGCATCCCACTGTCCCAGAGGCTCTGTGACCACACAGCGAGGCCCCTGCTTGGGCTGCCGGGAAGGAAATGAACACCCAGATGCGCCCTAAATCAGCAGAGTGGTGAGGTTAAGCAGCTCCACCGGAAAGGGATGCTGCTGTACCAGGATCAGGCTCCTTACTCCTTCATTCTGAACACCGTACTATGGAACACGGTTCTCGCTGGGCTTCTAGTTCCTACACTGGGCCCGCTCATGTTTTAGAGGAGAACCGCTCTCACCGCAGCCGTCGAGCTGGGAGTAGTGAGATCATGCCTGTAAGCCCAACACTCAGAGGCGGAAGCCAGCCTCTGGGGCCTTCACCGCTGCACGCATCTCCCTCTGAGACAGGCCTGTGGGTACCTGGCTGGCATAGAAATGCCCGATGATCTTCACAATGACCTGGTCGTTCTCATCTGGGGTCTGGTCTCTTGGCACCACCACCTCCGCCGCCGTCAAGTTCTGCAACTCGTTCACCTAGGGGTGGCCAGGCTTAGGCACCGCCCAGAAAGCACAGCAGGCCTGGGGCACAGGGGCCCTGCCCCGCATGTCACGGGCCCCAACCACCGCATGGTGCCCCCAGAGAGATGACCAGAGCAGAAGGGAAGGCAAGAGGCCTAGTAAAGAGTGGGGCAAGCTGCAGAGCGAACGGGAGCCCCACAGCGGGGCAAGCCAGCAAGAGGCCCGGCGGTTTGGCGTCCAGCCTGGCCTGTGGACTCACCGTTTTGCCACCCTTGCCAATGACCCGGCCTGCAGCGGAAGCTGGCACCCTTATGTGGGTCTCCAGCTTGACTTCCTCTTTGGGCCCGAAGAAGTTCTCCTCTTTCAGTTTGCCATAGATTCTTCCCTGAGCCTGGGGGAGGAAGTTCTTATTAACCAGGCAGCCGACAGCCACATGGCAGTGGCCAGAGAGAAGCAACCCAAGCACCAGGCCCCGCCAGCCCACCCTGGGAGGGTGGACACCTGTGACTACAGCTATAAGCCACACCGATGGGTCTGGAATGACTGTGTTTATCAGGCTGCAGCAACGACCAGCACTTAGAGGCCCCAAATGAAAACCGGCCCGGTGAATGGCTGCCCCCTCCCATCCCGGTCAGGGAGCTCCAGCCTCCGAATCTTGAGTGACGGAGAGAACCAGAAGAGGTTCTGATTAGGATTTAGTATTAATGTCTGTGAGTCCGCCAAGGCCCAAACCTTTGTCTGGAGACTGGCAGTGGCCTCAGTCACTGCACCTCTGAGTCACTGGTCCCCACTGAGGCCTGCGAGGCTGAGATGTCTCAAGGGGCACAGCTCAGGATGTCTGCCTCCACCCCAACAAACTAAAAGGAGACCGCAGCTGCAGGCTCCCACTCCCGACATCGCAGCTCTCCTACATTAAGATGTGCGTTACTTAAAGAGGCCCTTGAAAGACTCCCAAGTTCTGCCCAGACTCCTGCATTTTCCTCTGTATCCTCCTTCATTCAAAAAACTCATAAACTTAACAAAAAACCGTATACAGATGAATGTCCATTTTGTATCTGTGTATTCAAAGCAGTTAGGATATATAGTTACATTCTCTTTTTTTAATTTTTTTTAACATTTAGTGTGTGTGTGTGTGTGTGCGCGCGCGCGCATGTGTGGCCAGCTCAGCCCACCAGGGGGCGCGACTGGCTGGCATGTGGTGCTGGGGGATTGAACCGCGGTCCCTGTGCTTTGCCAAGCTTGTTCCAAGTAGGTGCTTTAGACCACTGAGCCATCTCTCCAGCCCCTACATTCTCTTAATGAATAGTGATTTGTTCTAATGATGTTTGTAAGTAGAATATCATGTCCGTATCTTGTAAAGCAATTAACCACTAGGAAGAATGTATGCAATGTGTTAATTATTGAAACTGTCCTACCAATCTGATTTGAAACTGTCTCACTGCTGTTTATCAATAAAATTATGGCGAAAAAAACAAAAACAAACAAAAAAAGCTCATAAATACAGGCCGCTCACAGAAGTCCTCAGCCTCTTATTTAAGCCTCAGCCGTCTACTCGTTTGGGAGACTGCAGGCCTCATCAGCCTGCAATGACCGAAAGATACTGTTATTGTGATACTCAAGAACTTAAGAATGTTTGCATCAAGTGCCAAGACCTCTGACTGCCTTTTCCCCACCCTGTCACACAGCTGCAGGGACTGAAGAGGACACAGAACCCTGTGAGCCATATGCCCCCTGGAAAATGTGAGACCAGGACTTGGGAGATAAAAGAAGTGGCTGCGACCTCTCTGGGCGGGAAAACTAATGCCGACTGTCACCTTGAACTGCGCCTCTGGCGGTCCAGTGATGATGACCATTCGAACCTTGGAATCAGGCGTCTCGGGTGGTGCAATCTACAAAGCAAAAGGCAACACAGGGGACAGTATCTTCAGGCTTCCTGCCTACCCCCTTCCCAGTCAGGGGTTCAGGTGCCCAGATTACTCCTGTGCTGCACCCAAGCCTGCAATGGCACAGATCGCTGCAGGCCAACAGACCCAGCTGGCTGTCCAGGAGCCCTGGGTGCACCCGCAGACGACCCAGCAAAGTCAAAGCAAAGAGCACAATGCCCGGGGAAAAGGGGCCCAGGGGACTCGGATACCTTGATGGAGGCACTGGCGAAGCGCGACAGCTGCTTGATATGTTGGCCCTTCTTGCCGATGATGGCGCCCACGGCCTGGGCGGGGATGAACACCTGGACCATCTCCTGCTCCGGGGCCTGCTGTAGGACACGGCACCTTAGTACCAAGGGACCAAGGGACAACAAGGGCCTGGGACCGCCCTGAACTCTGAGCAGCCAGAGGGTACTGTGAGCCCGCAAAGGGCAAGAGGCGGGCACTGGGCAAGTGCTGCTGCACCTCCCTTGCTCTCCCTGCCAACGATCCCCACTTACCATGAAGGAGCTGTAAGGAGCAGCCCCCGTGACACTGCTGGGAGGCGGTGGGACAGCGCTGGATGAGGCTGGAAAGAGCCCCACAGCAGCCAGGTTGAGGCCAGGGATCAGGTGCGACTGCAGCTGCAAAGACAGGTGTGGAAGACAAGGTCAGCTCAGAGGGCAGAGCCAGACTTGGGGTGCAGTGCTGACTGACTACACAAGCACGGTGAGCTCTCCACAAGGAGAAAGCCTGCCCATCGCAAGGACAACAGGCGCTTGCACAGGAACGGCCTGGCCTGCGGCTCTCACACACACTTGGAGCCAAGTGTGGTGGTGCACTCAGGAGGCTGAGGCTACATAGTGAGTCCCTATCTCCTACAAACATGGCCCCTCAGAACTTGGGTGGTGGGTGTGTAGATGAAAGCCTGCCCCCCACCAGTACACTTCAGTTTCGGCTAGTTGCCCAGGTAAGAGTGTTACTTCTAGGGCTGGCCAAATAGCTCAGTGGATTAAAGCACCTGCAAGCAGGTGTAGGAGCCGGGGATTTGAACCCAAGGGCTGCCTTGCTGGCCCCGCCTCCGGGGTGCCGAGGGAAACTGAGACTGGGTGTAGTGGCAGGGGTCTATAATCCCAGCTCTTGAGAGGCTATAAACAGGCAGATCACTACGAGTCTGATCTAGTAACAAGACCCTGAACACCCTGTAGACCCTTCTCTAAAACACACACACACACACACACACACACACACACACACACACACAAAGAAATGTTACTCCTGTCCTTTAGAAATGGCTGGTCATAGGCACTGCACAGCGGCTGGGGTTCATGCCCCAGCGTCCTGTGCCGGCGCCAGCACTAGCCTCACCCCCAGGGTGTGTTGAGGTGGCAACTGAGACTGGGTGTGGTTAATCCCAGCATCTGGGAGGCTGAAAACAGAATTGCTACTGGTCTGATCCATGTAGTGAGACCCTGTAGACCCTGTCCCAAACACAGAAAAAAAATGGCTGGCCACTGTGATGCACAAGACAGCCAAGCACTAGCCATTTTTTCTTTTTGCGGAACCGGTGATTGAACTCAGGCCCTTGCCAGGGAAGCGTTTATTCCACTGAACCATCTTCCCAGCCCTTCATCTTTTCTTGCAAACCCCATGAAAACCTCCCTGCCTGAGCCTTCAGGGCCCACTTTTTTTTTGGGGGGGGGGCGGGGTTCCAGGGATTGAACTCGGGCCCTTGCGCTTGCCAGGGAAGCGCTTATTCTACCTGAGCCATCTCCCCGGCCCCCAAGGCCCACATTTTTATCAGATTTGAGTCACTGTCAGTTTTCAGCCGTGTAAATCCATCTGCCTCCAAAGGCCGGACACAGTCCCGTGCCGCTGCCTGCCTCGCCAGGAGATGGCCGAGGGCCAGCACTCACGCTCATGGCGGCCACATCGTTCTCGTAGGCCTCACGGACTTTCTTCATGATCTCCTGCTCCGCCCGGCAGCAGTTCTCGATGGCACCCTTCACTGTGATGGTCCTCTCAGGGTTGTAGAGCGTGAGATCCTGCAGCCTGGGGGGAGAAGGAGGCACAGGAGCGTCACTAGTCACCAAGACCAGCACCCAACCGGGACAAGAGCCAGGGGTCACTGAGTGCAGGCTGGTCAGCCTCCAATGCCTGGGTTCTCTCTCTCCTGCTCGCTCTCTTTCAAGACAGGGTTCGCTATGCAGCCCAGGACTGCCCCGATCCTCCTGCCTCAGCTGCCTGAGCACTGGGTGGGGACCACAGGTGTGTACCCCACTAGCCTACCTAACAGAGGGGGACTATTTTCTATCTCCAAGCTTGGGGATGTGGGGCGGTTATCAGGGCAACAGCTGACCACGCCCATGCTAAGCAGCTGAGAGGCTGCGCTGCCCTGTAGCAGAGGGCAGAGACTGCGTGGGACGGGGACAGGGGGCTCCACTCTCTACCCCAATGGGGCACAGCAGCAGGATAAGCCATCTACAGCTGTGCGAGAGACGTGCCCCGTGCTACCTAGGATCAACTGTGCACTCCCAAATTGAGAGGGGAGGTGCCAGGGCTCGACACAGCACCCCACCCCGAGTGCCACCCTCAGCAGGGGCCCTGGAGCCTCACGAGGAGATGGTGATCTTTGTATCCGTGTCCTGCTCCACCTTCTTCAGATTGCGCCCTTCCTTGCCAATGAGACGCCCCACGAAGTTATTATGGGCCAGGATCTTCAGGGGGACCTCGTCAGCCCTGCGGGGGACACAGGAGACAGGAGCACCCTCAGCGGTTATGGGGCTCAACTGTACCACCTCCGCCTCCCAGGATGAGTGCTGGGCACAAAAGCCAGGAGGGGCCCACACTTTGTCTGAACAACTGTAACAGCACAGTGCAACAGGCTTCCACAGTATGTGCGAAGAAATCCTAGCCCTGGGAGGCTGAGGCCAGATGATTGCCTCAGGTCCAAGGCCATCCTGGGCTGTGTAGCAAGACCTTCTCTCTAAAAGGGCTGACGAGATAGATCAGAGGTCTAAGAGCCTGCCTAGCAAGCACAAGGACCAGGGATCTAGCCCTGGTACCACACGCTGTGCCGGCCACTGAAACCGGGTGTGGTGGAGCACATCTATCACCCCAGTGCTGGTGAGGCCGAGACATGAGGACGACTACAAGTACCAGCTGCGTAACGAGATCCCCTACCAAAAAAGTAAAACATTTAGGAAAAAGGAGGGAGGCCACAGGGAGATAGCTCAGTAGAGTAAGTGCCTGCCTGGAAAGCGCAGAGTCCTGAGTCCAATCTCCAATACTTCAAAAAAATAAATAAAATTTGGCCAGGGAGATGGCTCAGGAGAGTAAGCACTTGCGGGGCAAGCTCAAAGGCCTGAGTTTAAACCCTGGTCCTTGCCCCGCCCCCCAAAAAAAGAATAAAGAAAAATATGCCCAGTGTTTCATTTTTTAAAAATTTAGGGCCAGGCATGGCCATTACGCCTGTGATCCCAACACTCGGGAGCATAAGGGAGAGGAACGCTATTAGTTCAAGGCCAGCCTGGGCTGCAAAGATCCTGTCTCTAAATAAACAATTTTTTAAATTCATCACAGTAAAACACACATTGCCATGAACATTCCTCTCCGCTTGTTTTAGACACGCGTGTCCCACTCACTATTCTTGCCACTTTTTAAATTTGGTCCATAGTCTTGCCACATAGCTGGGACTCATAGTGACCCTCCTGTCTCAGCCTTCCCAGGGCTGGGATTACAGGTGTGCGCCACCATGCCCAGACTCGTAGCCAACTCAGGGAGCCCAGGAGTAGGGCCGGCACAGCATGCGGTGACAGAGATCAAATCCCAGTCCCTTTGTTTGCCTAAGCAGGCACTTAAGTCACTGAGCTATCTCGCCAGCCCTCTTTTTTTTTTTAAACATTTATTTATTTATGTGTGTGTGTGGCCAGCTCAGCCCACCAGGGGGCGGGGCAGGCTGGCATGTGGTGCTGGGGGATCGAACCGCAGTCGCTGTGCTTTGTTAAGCTTGTTCTAAGTAGGTGCTTTAGACCACTGAGCCATCTCACCAGCCCCTTGCCAGCCCTCTTGCCTTTTTTTTTTTTTTTTTAAATTATTTTGTTTATTTAGTGTGTGTGGCCAGCTCAGCCCACCAGGGGGTGGGGCTGGCTGGCATGTGGTGCTGGGGGATTGAACCGCGGTCCCTGTGCTTTGCTAAGCTTGTTCTAAGTAGGTGCTTTAGACCACTGAGCCATCTCACCAGCCCCACTCTTGCCTCGTTTTGAAACTGGGTCTCACTATGTGGCTTTGAATTTACTCTGTAGCCCAGCCTCCTGTAATTACAGGGGTGCACCGCCACACCCTGCCTTCCTGTCACTTTCTGAAGCAGCTCTCAAGCCCTCTTCCATGAATGTCTTTAGTTCTGTTGTGACTGCCTTGACATTCAGGATTGATTCAAAATGCTTCCCTCTCCTGGTGGTTTTGATTGGGAAAAGCCAGCAGCTGCCTGGCACCCGTGAATAAAGTAGGTGAAGACACGGTCCTGGTTTTACAGCCTGGCTTCCCAGACAGCACTCAGCAGCAGCAGCAGCAGCAGCAGCAGCAGCAGCAGCAGCAGCAGCAGCAGCAGCAGCCAGTTTTCGTTTTTGTTAACCACATCTGTAGATATCCCTAGACACAGGCATGTGGCACACACCTGCAAACTCAGCACTTATGAGGCTGAGGCAGGAGGATCCCTCTGAGTTCAACGCCAGCCAGGGCTACCTAAGTGAGTACAAGGCCAGTCTGAACTGCATTTTGAAATCTTGTCTTAAAAATAAACCAAAAGGGGCCGGGGAGATGGCTCAGTGGAATAAGCACTTCCTCAGCAAGCGCAAAGGTCTGAGTTCAATCCCTGGTTCCGCCAAATAAATAAATAAATAAACAAACAAATAAACCAAGATAGAGACTTCATGAGAGATTTCTGGAACTGCTTCAGGTAGCACCAGGAACAAAAAGGAATTACTTGAAGGGAATTAATGGCAATATTCCTTTTACAGCTATAATTTTTTAAAAATGTATTTTTAGTACAGGGTCTACAGCGTCCCACCACAGATTGGACTCCTAGTGATCCTCCTGTTTTCGGCCTCCCAAGTGCGGGGATTACAGGTGTGAGCCACCACGCCCAGTTTCAATTGACGACTCAGCAAGCACAGGGGGTGGGACCAGCAGGGCAAGCTGGGAATCGAACCCCAGTACCTGCATCTGCCTAAGCACGTGCTTTACTCCGCTGAGCTATCTATCTGGCTGGCCCTTACTACAATAAATGTTTATAAATTTTAAGTTGTGTCTCACAATCTATGTTATCTACAGCTCTCTGAAAGTGGGTGCAGCCAGATGAATCATGCCCTCAAACCCTTATCATCCCAGCACTCCAAGAGGCTGCTGCAGGAGGATCCCAAATTCAAAAGCATGCAGGCGTCTGAGGGCAGGAACAGCCCCGAGAGCCGGCGCCGCAGGTCCTCACGTCTTGGTGTCCTTCGCCTCCTTGTGCATGATCTCCAGGATCATCCTGCAGGCGGAGGAGCAGCCCTCGGGGGTGGAGTGCACGCTGATGGCCTTCTCGGCTGCGCCCGCGTTCTCCTTCCTGTGCACATCGATCCTGTAGCACGGGACAGACCATTAGTTCCCTGAGAGATGGCCGCTTGTAGGGCTCCGAATCCTGCCCCTCTTCCCCTCTTCGAAGGACACTGGCCAAAGGCGGTGGGGGCGGGGGGAAGGACCCTGTAAGAAAGTCCAGGCAGAGGTGGCCGGGCTGCCACGGCCTGTGCTAGAGCCCACTTCTCTCCAGCCCTACAGCAGTTAACAGAAAGCCACTGTCCTGCAGAAAAGAAGTCAGTGCACTTATTATGAATGAGGAGAGTCCCTACCGAGCACACTGAGAAACGCCAAAAGGGGCCGGGGAGATGGCTCAGCAGAGTAAGTGCGTGTCTGGCAAGTGCAAGGGCCTGAGTTCAATCCCCTGTTGCTCAAAAAAAAAAAAAAAACCAAAAAAACACCTTTGGATGGTGCCCCCCCCTCTGGCCAGCCCTGGGGCTACCACTGACCATCAAGAAATTACTGAGCACCAGGAAAAGCTGCCTTTCAAGACCAGGTTGGCATTAAAAAAAAGACCAGATTGGTTTAGGGAGACTTTTAATGAAACTTCCCAGGAAAATACAGCAATGCACTGATTAATCGTAAGAGGATCCCACTTTGTAGTTCAGATAAGCCTTGGACTCGCTCCAGTCCAGGCTGGCCTCAAACTTGCAGCAATCCTACTGCCGCAGGTTCCTAAGCATAGATCGCAGCTTTTGAGGAACCTTGTCAGCGACAGCCCTGCTCATGGCTGGTGGGAGTGGCGGCAGCCTTGGAGGCAGTGACCCAGGAAGGTGTGAAGCCACAGTTCTAAGAGGAAGATGCCGACCCCCTCAGGACCGCAACCTCGGACCCCGCCTGAGACTCACTTGGACTGGGTCTGCTTGGTGATGTTGCGGATGGTGGCACCCTCCTTGCCAATGATGGCGCCCACGTACTGGGTGGGCACCAGGAGCCGGAGCGGGATGTCCACCTGCTGCTGCTTGGCCGGGGCCCCCGCGGCCACCGGTGAGCCCTGGCGGGGCTGACCCCGTGAGCCAAAGCCGCCCCGGCGCCCATTCTCAGGGCCCTGCGCGATTTGCTCATCCGGGATGTAGGAGACTTTAAGGGCATGGTTCTCCAGCTGGTGCCCGTTCAGCTTCATGATGGCTCTGGGAACAGGGGACACAGTTAGGTCAACCCAGTCCACCCTACCCACTGCCCCCTTGTACAACAAAAAACGCTCTGGAAGAACAGAAGCCCCAGAGGCCAGGGAGATGGCTCAGTAGAATAAGCAAGGGTCTGAGTTCAATCTCTGGTTCCGCCAAAAAAACCCAGAAGCCCCTCCCCACCCCACAGGGAGTGACGGCGCTCCCTGGCAGGCATCCTGCAAGACCTAGGGCTGCGTGGGCTGCCGCTGCTGCCCCACAACCACCACCTCCCTGTGACCACGTGAGATGATCTATCGACTGCCACAGCTTTGAAGAAAGCTGTGAAACATCGTTATGGTCACACTAAGGCCTTCGTTCTCCCTCGGGCTGGCGTGTGGATTTCAGACAGAACTGCGTTATCTTACAGGATTTCTGAGGTCCCACAACGAAGCCAGGGATGAGCTAAGGGTCTGCTGCTTTTGCGTCCACTGAGCCCAGCACATCCCAAGCTTATGAAGGCAGCTCCAGGAAGGGAGCAGGTGGCAGGATGGCTGCTCACCTCAAGGCAGCTGCCCCCCTGGGGGGCTCTAAACTGAGGCTTGGGGCAAGGGCAGAAGGGACATGCACCAACCACTTCCGAGGCCAGCAAGAGTGGCACACACCTATAATCCCTGCACTCTGGGAGGCTGAGGTCTCTCTCTCAATGCCCACCCCATACTAGAAGTCCAACTAGGCCCTTGCACTTGCCAGCCAGCTGCTAGGCCGCTGAGCTAGCTCCTCAGTGGCACGGCCTATAAAGATAGGCAAAGTGGGTGGCCCCAGGGGAACAGAAACCTGTAGAACACTCTGAGCCTAGAGGGTGCCATCCAATAGGAAGCGGCAAGGCAAAGGAAACTGCTCAGCCCCACACCAGCGCTGGATTCCACCCCCAGCACTGTAAGAACCTGGTACCAGTGAGGGAGAAGTGTGACCTCTCAGCCACACAGTGAAGAAGCCAGACGCTGGCTGCACTGGGACCAGCAGGACCCTGGAGGGTATGAAACAGCCCAGGATTCCAAACCATTGCTGCCAGAAGGTACCTGGTCCAGCCCTCTGGACCCTGCAGTTCCACCCAGCGTCACTAGTCGGCGCCCTCGACCCGGCCAAGGCCCTCACCCCACCTTCCTGGAAAGGTAGCCCTCTCTCCTGGCCAGTTTCGCTTCTGAACCTGAGATCTGGTAAACAAGGCATGAAGGAGCTACACACCTCTTCTCCAAAGAGTCTAGGGTTGGCTAGATAAAACTCAGAGCTGGCGACTCCAGCCTTCCTGAACCCAACTCAAAGCCCCACCTCACTGCTGTGGTCCTGGCCAGGAAGAGGGACCCCAGCCCCACCTCGCTGCTGAGGTCCTGGCCAGGCAGAGGGACCCCAGCCCCAGGCCCCACTCACTGCCTGGTTTGCTCCCGGTTGGAGTAGGTCACGTTCACCACCGCAGTCTCGCTCTCCGTGTTCACTGTGGAGAAGACAAGATCAGTATTAGAGGGGTGCAGGCCTGCAGATGAGTGAACCCCCAAACCCAACTTTCCTCAGGCTGAGTCAGAAAGCTGTGCAGCAGATGTGCCAGGCCACCGAAGCCCCCAAATGGCAGTCACAGAAGACACCAGAGCTCCCCCGAATTTCCAACCCCTTTCTGACCTCGCCTTTCCTATTTTCATTGCCCCACCTACTTTCTCTACCCTAAAAGGCAGAGAAAAGGGCGTGGCCACCATAAGGCAGCGCTGCAGCGGGGACCCCATGGTCGAACTCGCTCGCTGGCATCACACACAGTAGGGTCAGCCTGGCAGGAGCAAACCCAAGAGAAGGGCACCAAGAACCAGGTCCCTCCAGAGCCTCTGGCCCAGGGACACCTAACCAGCGTCCCAGGAACGTATTAGCAAGGCCCTGTCTGAAAAGAAAAAGAGGGGCTAGTGAGATAGCTCAGCGGTCTAAAGAGCTAGTTTGGGCAAACTTAGGCAGGCACAGGGGACTGAAGTTCGATCCCCAGCACATGCCACATAGTCCCGCCCTCAGGGTGGGCTGATCCAGCCCAAAAGTAAGAAAAAAAAAAAAAAAAGGATGGCTGTGAGTTGGAGGGCAATTTGGGCTACAAAGTAAGCCCAAGGTGAGCAAGCACTACATAGCAAGACCCTGTCTAAAAAAGACAATGCATAGAAGGATGAATGACAGACGGATGGCAGAGTATTTTTTTTTTAAAGAGAACCGAGGGATGCAGCTCAGTGTGAGGCCCCAGGTTCAATCCCTAGCAAGAAGACAGAGAAAAAGAGGGACAGTAAGGAGGAGGAAAGGAGGGGAGGAAGATGTCACCCAAGGTAGAGAGCAGAAGGGGCAGCAGCAGAGGCCTGCAGGACAGGGAGATGAAGCGGCCGCGAGGGCCGACCGCAGATGGCGCACTGCCATCGGGGGCCGACCGCTCCCCTCTGCCACATCTCACCTGATCTAAGCATCGTTGGGGGACGCATGTGTCAACACCCTGAGTTATGCCCCAGAAACAGCAGACGTGTGTATTATGCTCTCTTTTCTTCTTTTTATCTTTCCAGGTGGAGCCTTATTATGTAATATAATCCAGGCTGCCCCTGAGTGCCTGGGAATTCTGCCTTAGCCTCCTGCTGGGATTCAAGGTCTCTGCTACCTTACCCGGCAGAAATTTATAACCCTAGTAACGGGAGAAACCTTTCAGATCTAGCACGTTTAGGATTTAAAATTCTGGATTAAGGCTGGGGAGACAGTTCGACAATCTAAGCGCCTGACTGGCAAGCCTCAGGACCTGGTTCAATCCCTTGCACTGCATGCTGCGCTGCCACACCATGTGGGCCACCAGGACTCGGCATGACCGTACAAACCTGTAATCTCAGCACTGGGGAGGCTGAGACAGGAAGATCACTACAAACCTGAGCTGCGCAGCAAAACTGTGTACCAAATAAATAAATGATTTTTTTTTAAAGAAAGTTAAATTCTGGGGGTGGAAGAAAAAAAAGAAACTTAAGTTCTGGATTATTCCTTCTGTGGCCTTATCCTTCAAGGATTCTGCCACATCAAGCTATATGAACTAATAAACCCTCTGCTTTTTTTGTTTTTTAACTGACCAAAGACACACCTCTTTGGGGCTTATAAAAAGAAAGGTGACCTTTTGGTTACTCTAGCCAAAACCTAAAAAAGCAGCTTTTGAGGTCAAGAGTGGTGGCACACAACTGCAACTCCAGCACTGGGGGCTGAGGCAGAAGGGTCAACACTTGTTTCAGGCCAGCCTGGGCAACATCATGAGATTCTGTCTCAGAATTCCAAACAAAGGGCCGGCCAAATAGCTCAGCAGATTAAAGCTCCAGGGCTGGGGTTTTGATCCCCAGGGCTGCTGTGCTGGCCCCACCCCAATTGAGACGGTGTGGTGGCACGCATGCCTGTAATCCCAACTCTTAGGAGGCTGTAAACAGGCAGATCACTACACATCTGATCTAGTGAGACCCTAAACACCCTGTAGACCTTTCCCTACAATACAAAAAAAAAAAAAAAATCCAAACAAAAGTAGACTTCCACAAAGTGAACAATTTGCAAACTTAAATCATAAAATTCTTTTTTTTTTTTTTTTTTTAAGACAGGGTCTCACTATGCAGTCTGGACTGGCCTTTTGCAGCCCCCAGGCTGGTCTCAAACTCAAAGATCCTCTTGGCTCAACCTCGCAGGCACTGGGACTGCAGCTGTGTCCCCCACCCCTGGTTCCGAAGTGTACACAGTGGCTGTCTGCATCCAGGCAGAGACCACACAGCATGTGGGCCCAGAGATAGATCTCAGGTCCTTGTGCTTGCCACGTAGGTGCTTATGCCTCTGAACTATCTCCCTGGCCCCCTTTTTTGGGTTACTACTCTAAAAGGCTGCATGCATGCTCCATGCGGGGCAGCAGGGGCTTCACCCAAGCTGCCCACAGGACAGAAGAGAGCCTGGGGTCACTGAGACCGCAGAGCCCACAGCAGGCAAGGACCCCAAGTGCAAGAGAAGCAGCGCCCCAGGCTCCTCGCACCCCACCACGCCCACCACGCTCACCTTGCTCGCAGCTCTCCACAGTGCCGTATTGGGCCAGCAGGCTGTCCAGCACCTGGGGGCGGAGGGGGACAGGAGCAGGGACACTTAGAGCAGGACCAGGCACACCTCTTCCCGCTTCCTCTACAGGTGACAACAGGGTCTAGGGAGAAGCTAAATTTCACTGTATCCCTCCCTTCCCCACCCACCCACTAGGGCCCCACCCTGCAGACACCTCAAAAAGCTGGAGTCAAGTGGGGAGAACCTCTTCGGCCAACCCAGGCCCAGGCCCCCACTCCGGCCCCGCCACTCACCTCCCACCGCAGCTGAGGCGGGATGTTCCGGATCTGGATCTTCCGACTCCTGCAATTAAAAGAAGCAATCACAGTGAAAGATGCAGATGTTCCAGGACCCTGGCAGTTCGTACTTCTCGGCTTGGTTTCAGTTTTACCTCCCAAGTTTCTGCTCGAAGTAGCAAGTGGTAACGTTTTGAGGAAGGGGACTGAGGTGAGGTGGCCTGGTTAGTTTGTACTACGTAGCTTTCTCACGCCCTTAGCTGGCACCTACTACCCTGTATTCTAGATACCAGAATACAAGGCTAATGAAGACGGAAATCCTTAGGCAGGATGGCGGCCCATGTCTGTACACACCCACCCCTGGGAGGCTGAGGCAGGCGGACTGCCACCAGCTCAAGGCTAGCTTGAATACCTAGTAAGACTTGGTCTCAAAAAGACAAACAGACCTAACTCTCCTTAATTATAATCTGGCGGGTATTTCAGCGGCACCCACCCTGTGCACCACCGGCACGCCTGCCCTCCACTCTCCAGGCGCTGGCAAGGCAGATTTCAGCAGGATAAAGAGCGGTTAAGCCCTTGGCACAGGCGCGGGCTGAAACTACTTATTAGCTCAGATCTTTAGAAGATTACTTAACTTGAGGCCCCAGCCCTGTAGGTAAGCAGGGATAATCCCTATTCAAGGGCCGTAGGTGGTGGTAGATAGTGTTTATAAAGCCTGGCCAAAAGGTGCTCAACAGGAAACCTTAGCCGCACCTCGGCACACTAGCAAGAGCGTGATTCACACCCACAGCCAGTGCCGGCGGCCCTTCCCTTCCCCTCCAAATAGTTCCTGCCCATCTTCCTCATCCTTTTTGAGAGCATCTGCTTTGTCATTCAGGCTGGCCTTGAACTCATGGGGATCCGCCTGCCTCAGCCTTGCAAGTGCTGGGATTACAGGCTGTGCCACCGTGCCTGCCTGTTTCTCCTTTCAATGTCTCCTCCCTGCGTCCCTTTTTCAGCACTACAGACTGAACCAAGGACCTTTTTCAAACTGAGCCACACACTTCGAGCTCCCTTTACTTTGAAATGGGGACCCACCCACTTGCCCATGTGGGGCTCGAACTGGCCACTCTGCCCCAGTCTCTCTGAGTGCTGTGATTCCACATGGGTGCCACCACAGCTGAAAAGTTTATTCTCAGCACCCTACACTACCAGGATTTTGTTTGGTTTCCTCTTTCATTACTTTTGCTGGGTTTTGGGTGCTAAGGATAGAACCCGGGGCCTGGCCATTGCTAGGCGTACTCTGCGTGGTGAGACCCCAGGACCCCCAAAGGCCTCTCAAAACTAATTACCCCTGGGAAGCCTCCAGGTAGAGGTAGTTCTCACTACCCAAATCATTGCCCCGTGCCTAGGTTAAAGGTCACCTGGATTCTACGTCAAGAGCGCCATTCCAGCTCTGAGCAGCCCCAAATCCAAACTTGGTTCAAGTCTGCTGACTCCCAGAAGCTGGCAGGAAAACTAGAAAGCCCCAGCTTGGGGTGCGTGAACAGGGCCAGCTGGGACAACCCCTTGTGCACAGGCCTCAGATCCGGGCCTGTTCCGGTTCAGCAGTGGGAAGAGAGAAAAGGATGGGTGGTCACTGTGGGACCGTGTGGGTATGCGTGTAAACGGGAGTGGAAGGAGCTCCGAGGCCCCTTCAGCTGGGCAAGTCAGCTTTTGGAAGAGCCCTGCTAAGAAGAAATGGCAGGAAAAGGAGGGCACATGCAGAGGACAACCTGATGCAGGCTCTGGCTCTCTGACCCCAACTCTGGGAAGGCTGAGGCAGGAGGATCACTGCTAGTTTCAGGCCAGCACGACTACCCAGTGAGACCGTTTTTTTAAAGAAAATTTGAGATGCTCCATTTCTGGTTCACAGCTCTTTGCTGTCAACCCAAAGAGGTCAAACTGCAACAAGACTGAAGTGAAGACACCCAGCACCTCTCTCAGGTCCTCGGGGTTCCAGTTCCGGTCAGAGGGTGCCCACATCTGCCCAGGTCGGGCTCCCCAGGGGCCCAACAGGCCCAGGGGACCCGTCAGGGATGAAGGGGCGGGGCTGAGCTCCTTCTCAGAAAGCCCGTGCAATCACCTAAGAGGTCAAAGGTCAGAACTGCCCTCCAACTGCAAACCCTCATTTGGGGGGTTCTCTTTGAGGGGCAAGGCGGGGGGACGAAACCCAGTCTGTGCGGGGCTTTAATCCACATCCTGGAAACCTCAGCAGGCAGATCGTCTGGAATGCGAGGAATGTGCTGGGGAGGGAGGAGGGCAGGGCCACCGACTAGGAGGGCGCGTCGCTTCCCCCACCCCTGTGGGGCTCGCACCCCACCCTGAAAACCCGCCGACCCAGACCCAACAGGGAGGGGCTGCGGCAGCCCAGGCCCAGTGCACCTTTGTCTAAACCCCTGGCCTGGTTCCCATTAAGGACTTGCTACCTAATTCCTTTCAGGCCTGAGCTCAGGGCAGCACTGACAACTGGAACCTGCATTCCTGCGCTTGGGTCATCTGTCTGTCTGTCCAACTGTCCATCCATTCATTCCCACGTAAGCATGCTGGGCCCAGTAGAGTCCTGAGTTTTGGTCACCCCAACTTGCTAGGACTCCCCTACTTTCCCTGATGGTTTAGGGAGTCAGTCCCAGCTAGAGGAAAAGGGCAGGGAGGACGGCACAATGAGCTCTTTGGCAGCAGAGGTGAGGGAGCCAGAAAAAACCACTACCGAGGGCTCCACCCTGCCCTGCACCTCCAGCTTCCGGTCAGCACAGCCCTGGGTGCCCTTGCTGCACCCCACACTCAGGGCTCAGCAAAGCGGACAGAACCCCATGGGTTCCTAAACCCACATCCCACACCCTGCAGTTGGAAAGGACAAAGCAGCCGCCACAGGCCACAGAGACAGACCAGGGTGGCCTGGGAGTAGGGCGCCCCTGCTTTAGCTTTATGGTGCTCTCTCAGGCAGCTCCGCGGTGAGAGGCTGCAGGAGCCAAAGATGGCAACTGGGAGGAGGGGAGGGAGAGACAGCAGCACTGGAGAGGGGACAGGGCATTTGGGGTTCACAGAAGCAGTGCTGCCAGGGTGCAGAGAAGGAAACAGCTCGTGCAAAGGAAGAAGGGCCACTTATATCCCAGGAGCTGTTCTCGGATGGGTCACTCAGCGCTGAGCACAGTGGGCCACCACAGAACTCAAGCTGGGACTGCGGCCGCGTTCAACCCAAGGGCCGGGTCTGAGTTGGAATCCAGATCCAAAACCGGATCTGATCCCAAAACCTGCTCAACTCCAGCCTCTTTTTTCACCGGCTGGGGCTTAAATGGTAGAAGGGCCTTTTGCCCAGAAGCACTATGAGTCTGGGAGCCTGCAGACCTGCCTGAGGCTTGCCCTGGGAGAGCTGTGGTCCCAGGGGTAAAACATCCCTTCTCACTTCTAGTTCCTGCTGCCTAGTCCCACATTCTGCTTTTAGGTTTTGTTTTTTTGGTGGAACCGGGGATTGAACTCAGACCCTTGTGCTTGCCAGGGAAGCACTTATTCTACTAAACCATCTCCCCGGCCCCTGCTTTTTTTTGGGTTGTTTGGGGGGTTTTTTTGGTCGGGGAGGCCTGATGCAGGCTCTCACCATGCAGTTCAGGTTGGCCACCACACAAGCCCTCACTAAGCATTCCAGGCCGACCTTGAACTCGAAGAGATCCTCCCGCATCAGCCTCCTAACTGCTGGGAGTACAGGCCGGTGCCACCTCACCTGGCTTACTGTTACGCAGCTATCTGTAAAGTTCTAGTCCCTGGTCCTTTTCCAGCCCCTCCTTAGACAGATGTGTGAGGGTGGAGTGGGAGACACCAGCCCAAGACAAAGAGGGCACAACTGGATTTGGAATCTTATGGCCGGCCCCGCCTCTAGGCACGCTGAGTGACATGGTGGCACACACCTCTAACCCCAGCACTGGGAAGGCTGAAAACAGGAGGGTCACTAGGAGTCCGAAATGCAGTGAGACCCTGTACCAGATACATACATTAAAAAAAAAAGAATCAAGCTGGGGGCCCGGTCCTGAGAGGGGCCTGGACTTTCACCTGCGGCCTAAGGGGCTAGGCTGGCCAGATCTGCAGACAGATCCCTCACCTCACCCCTGCCCAAGGTCAGGCCGCAAGCCCGCTTGCAACTCTGGGCCTTTCCCCTCCACCAGACACTAGGAATAGAGCTCTCCACCTTCCTGTCCCACACAGAGACAGAGTTGGCCTGCCTGAAAGAGAATGTTCTTAGTCAGAGGGGCTTTCTCTGCCTTTGTGGTCTAGATAACTAATGTGAGCTTTTGCTTTTTTGAGGCATGGGATGAAAGTTGAGGGAAGCTTCCACCAGGAAATGTGTGCAGCAAACACTGTGCTATGCATAAAGCCAAGATGGGGGAACCTGTGAACACTGAAATCACAAAGTGTGAGGAAGACAGACAAAGCGTGAGGAAGACAGAAGAGCAGGCTGGGCGTGCAGAAACACTCTGATTCCGGCCCTGAGAAGGGACCCTACGGCCCAGCCTCAGGCAGCTTAGCGGGACCTCGTCTCAGAAGAATGAAAAATAAAGGGCTTGGGTTATAGTTCTGTATGGAAGTCCTAAGCTTGACCTCCAGGATTGCTAATAAAAGATACACACCCAAAGCCAGGATTAGTAGCCCACCACTGTCATCACAGCACTCTAGCGGCTGAGGCAGGAGAGACATGTGAATCTGAGGCCACCCTGACCTATATAGTGAGACCCAGTCTCAAAAAAAAAAAATCAAAAGAATGCTGCAAAAACAAAAAGAACTGTTGTTCCTAACCCGGGGAAACACCAGCACCCACTTCCTTTTGTTTCCTTTGCAGTACTGAGGTTAAATTCAGGGCCTTCCACTTGCCAGGTGGGCGCTTATGCCCCTGAGCTATCCTCCCAGCCCCACCTACTCCTAAGAGTTCCCCCAAGCTTCTGGAGAAGAGTCCATTTGTCCGGGCCTTCTGATCCTAGAAACTTCAGCACTCCACGTGACTGTGCCCCAGCTCCTGGGGACCCACGGAGAGACTGTATTTTTAATTTTATACCAAGT